GCCCCCATGCCTCCGGACCCTGAGCCCCCGGCCGGGCACTTCCCCTCCCAGGCTCCGGCGGCTGCTGTGTTCCCTGAACTCCTGGGCTCTGTAAGCGCTGAGCTGCCCGAAGCCGGTAGCGCTCCGGCAGCTCGGCTCTTACAGAGCCCAGGAGTCAGGGAGCACAGCAGCTCCCGGCGCCCGCTCCAAGGTAAGCCAGGGAGTATTTTTCCCGGACATGTTGTGCTTTTTGGAAATTCCCCCCGGATGGGGGTTTGATTACCAAAAAGCCGGACATGTCTGGGAAAAAACGGACATATGGTAACCCTACTCCTGTCTCTCTCACCTCGTAGCTTGGCAGCAAGTCACATAGGAAAGGACACATTTTTCTCTCTGTTAGACAAGTGCAAATCTTGGCGTTCCAGGCAGTGCCTCTAGATTTACACTAGCATAAACCAGAGCAGAATCAGGTCCTGCAAGCCCTGCTCAGCCACTTCTCCAGGAGGCAGATTAGCCCATTTTCCAGGCCGGGTGGGGTTGTGCATGACTGCACGCCCTGGGGGAAAAACCCCAGTTCAAATGATTGAACCTGGGAACAGAATATATAGGCATGGTGGTGTCTGACGGTAACCAACACACAATAAGAAAGCCAAGCCCGGTGAGCTGGGGAAGCTATTGCTGAGCAACACTGTAACAAAAGGACGTGGCAGAATTACTGCAGGATCCTATCCCTGGGGAAAGAGGTGAAGAGGCCGTATGACTGAACTGCATCTCCCCACCACACAACACTGTCTGTCTGGAGCCGACCACAGGAGCTCAGAGCAGCCTTGCAGATGGGTTAGGGGGCCCTGGTGATCTCTTCTGGTAAGTGCCACAGCAAGAGAGGAAAACTACAGGGGAGGTAGAAGAAATGGAGAGCATGTGGGGCAACACAGTCAGGATCCTAGATGCCCTGAGAAGAAGCAGGAATTGGTGAAGAGGCAACAGCAGTGGGGTTAGACAAAAGGAGAAGCAGCAGGACTCAGGTGTCAAGGAAGGGGAAGCCATATTTGTGGGGAAACAGTGCATGGCAGCAGGTTTGGGGGAATGATGAGGAGACAAGACGGGAGAAGCAGCAGTGGATTATAGCAGGAGCAGTGGTGCTGGAACTATAGGTTCTGGGGGTGCTGCCACACCCCCTGGCTTGAAGTAGTAACAACAAACACCAACTACGTAGTTTCTATCATCAGCACCCCCACTATAAAAATTGTTCCAGCACCTCTGAACAGGAGAGGGAGAAACTGGGAAAGGAAGAACAGGAGAGGCGAGGAGGAGCAGTTACTCAGTTTTCCCTATCTGTAAAAGGGGATAAATACTTGCCCTCCTAGGTATGTTGTGAAGCATCCTCAAGATTTGTAAGGTGTCTGCAGTTTCTTGGATAGAAGATGCCAGGTGTAATTTCCCTATGCTCACTGAAGAGGAAGGATTAGCCTGGTCTACACTATGTTAATGTCCCAGGGCTGACAACGAGTATAGTTTGACAAACAGACTTTAATTGCAAATGCAGACAAGGACAAACAGTGTTCAGCAGCCGTTCAGAATAGACCAGCTGTCTGCACAAGCAGTTTACACCTTGCTTAGCACCAGTTACACTGCATTCATTGTCAACACCCACTGTCAGCCCCAAAACCATTTTGTTTAGAGCCCCAGGCTCTAGAGTAAAAGAATACAGAGGTGCAATCCTGTCTAGGTGTACATGTGATTTCACTGTGCTACTGGCCAGGCTGTGGTTTGGAAGGTGTATGGTTAACTGCAAATACAGTCAGTTTTTGAAAACAATGAATCGGTAATTTTAGCCACTGTGATTGTCTCTAATTCCTCCAGACAATTCTGGTTTTACAATCACACTTCCCAGTTTAAAAATAAGTTTTAGTCTACCCTTTTCCTGTATAAAAGACTCACGCAGACAGGAGAAACCAACTCACTGGCTGACTGTACAGGGGAGTCAATGAACTGGTTTACAGAAGTGCACAAAATAAACCGAAAAATCAGAACAATCACTTTATTTTCTCTAACCTCTTTTAGATCTAGTAATCTAAGGTTAGACTTTTAACTGGATTGAGTAAAACCCCAAAACTCATGTTTTTAAATTGTGCTGCCCCTTTAAATATACAGTATATGTATCATACCATATCTATTTCTACTATAGCTTAAAGTATATTATCTCATTGTCTCAACTGGAGATGTAGATGAACATGCAGTTGACTTTTCTAAGCTGTTGTAGATACACATACAAAGGTTTCCATGGGGCTTTGGATGTGTTTGGTACAGTATGCACGCTCTCTCTCTCTCTGAATGGCAGGAGTTTTTTGTATAGGGTTACCATACGTCCTCTTTTTCCCGGACATGTCCGGCTTTTCGGCAGTCAAACCCCCGTCCGGGGGGAATTGCCAAAAAGCCGAACATGTCCGGGAAAATGGCGGCTCTGTTTAAGAGCCGGGCTGCCTGAACGCTACCGGCTTCGGGCAGCCCTGTGCCTCCAGACCCTGCGCCGCCGGAGCCCGGGAGGGGAAGTGCCCGGCTGGGGGCGCAGGGTCCGGAGGCATAGGGGCTGCCCAAAGCCCGAGCGCTACCAGCTTCACGGTTTGCTGGGCAGCCTCCAGACCCTGCGCCGCCGGAGCCCGGGAGGGGAAGTGCCCGGCTGGGGGCGCAGGGTCCGCTACCAGCTTCACGGTTTGCTGGGCAGCCTCCAGACCCTGCGCCCCCAGCCGGGCACTTCCCCTCCGGGGCTCCGGCGGCTCTGCGTAACTTACACTGTATAAGTTACACAGAGCCGAAGAGGAGCAGAGCCCCCGCAGCTGGAGGCTCTGCTCCTCTTAGGCTCTAAGAGCCGGGCTGCCC